TCAACACTATTGCTGGAGTAGGCAACATACTTTAGTGATCAACACGACGCAGTAAATTTAATACTTCCCGCTCTTTATTATCCATCAGCAACAACCGATCCTCTCCATGCCACGCTATATACGCCAGAAAAGTGCGTGATTGATGGAGGCATGTAGGTTGCACTGTCAAAAACACCAGTGTATTAGTTGGGGTCATTGATGGTTAATTATTTCTGGTAGATTAAGTAGGAGCCCGGTGCCTTGACCAATCAACTCCACGGCGGCAGGTAGCTTCAGTACAAGGTATCTTCTTTTTTTTGGGGGGGGGGTATTGATCAAAGAGCCCATACCAATTGTTGTCTGTGCAACGATCGCAGGTGTTTTATCAACAGTGCCGAGGGCCGAGGGACAGTGGTGTTGATTTAATATTTTAATAAAATATGACCTGCTTCTTTGCGATCAGCGACCGAATAATTGAAGGGGGCAGGTTTCAGTGTAAGATGGCTCGGAGTATCCGTGCTTTATCAGAGGCTTGCTGGCACATATAGGGCCTATCGAAAAATTATGGCATGACGAGTATGGCATTTTCTCATTACACATTGCTTCATATAAAAACTGACTCGGTGATCTGCACACGCCCAGCTGGGAGGGCAAACCGATGTGGCACTGGAAATGTTGAAATTAGTATAGGATATGAGAAGCCAGCGCCACAATATCACCCGATAAGATGAAGGAACTAAACAGATACCACGACTTTTAGTCACACTCAATTAAACGAGTGTTTGCGTTTTGAGACATGCTAGTTTCCAGATGGAGTTCAGCGTTGGTAATGGCAAGGCGCAATTGTATCTTTGGGAGCGGGGCTCATTTCAATTTTTGTATTTAACATTTTATTGTCTTTTTAAAGGGAGGCCACATTTGAAGGTTTTAAGCAAACTTTAGAAATATGAGAACGAAACGGACCCAATTTTTTCCTCTAATAATATGAAAAAGCCTTGCTTTAGGGAGAAAGATTTCCCACTTTAGCTATCGCTTGGATCTGTCTGTGAGCGTAGTTCTGTACACTGTAAAACTATGGTGTTAACCCACTACGCTGGGTGTTCTCAGAGAACTACATAAGACTGGATACAGTCTTCTGATAACACCAATGTTGTTAAGTGAACAGCAATTTTAAACCAACATTCTGTGAAAACAAACTCATAATATTCCGTTTTGATGTAAGATTCCTCATCGGTTTTAAACAAACTGCGGATACATATCTGACGTACGGTGAACATCGCCCGGTTCATAGTCTCACATGGGTGTCAAATTTCCATGGCCGAGTAAGTCACCCCCATCCCCATCCCTCCAATTTCCAATCCAAAATTTTTGTCAATGTCAAAATAGAATCGAAAACAGTTTACTCCCCTGATCTTGCCTTCCGGACGATTTCTGATAAACCACCTAAAATAAAAGTCTTCATGACGTTAACATTAGGGGGGAGGACAAAATAAAAGGGTATCAAGTTTAAAGTTTCTCTCAGAATTTGTGTAATTTATTTGTTAATCATAGGCATTTATTAAAAAGTTAAGAAGGTGTTTAAAAAAGCCGTTATGTTAGGCTACGCAGTAACATTAGGACCGTTTCATCCTTTTCGTCTTTTGCCACAACTGAACCATTTTTGCTCTACATCTTGCCCGAATCATTTCTAAATGGTTTGCTGATCAGAATGAATATCACCATGATCTATTTTTGGAGTCATATTCCATATTTTCAGCATGAGGTGTTCACTGTAAAACTGTTCATAACTGTCAGGTTTCATTTGTATAGAGATTGAATGGTTCTATGAGGGGAAATCAATTAGCACAGCACAATCAGGGATTTGTGTCTTTGGCAAGGCAATTAAAGTTGCTTTATTTTTTTTTGGGGGGGGGGAAACCTAGTCCAGGTTGCATGACATCTTCATGTATTGTGACTAGCATGCGAGTTTGTCCTTTCTTAAGCTCACAGGTGCGGAACCTGGAATTTTGTCCAAATCTTCTATTCACCTTAAATCAGTCAGTACAGAGGCTAAGACGAATGTCCATAGTTGAATCATATGCAGCAGATTGAATGTTGACTAATTCCAAACGCCAACTGATTTAGAAAATGTTAGGGTGAAAAGTCAGGTAATTTGAGAGTGAAAAATGTGAAAAAATTGACATCCGTAAAGTCACTACGCCAGGTAATTTGGTTTAAAACCTGGATTTTAGTCACACTTATGTAACAAAGCCATTGTACGATATGAAACACACATCCAGGGCCTTTAAAAGCGATGGAGGCTGCACCCCCCCTTCTCTGGGTGTTTTGAGAGGCTTAAGTTTTTCTACAGTAGATTTCTGCCAATTCATTGGCAGATAATTCAAAACAGTGTACAGTCATTGGACATGTTCAGAAACATAAGCAGACCAGTTGCATTGCCTGTGCACGATGAATTAGGGGCCATACATTTCAGACGGATCCCCAGCTTCAGAATCACCTCTTTCACAGACTCGTCTGTTTGAAGGCTAAAAGACTCGTCATTAAATCCTTGTTCTGAAAACAAGGTGAGGACAGATCACGATTCAAGGTTTCCACCTTCTCTTCAGTTGCGTATTTTATTTCAACAAATTTTTAAATCAGATGTCTTGCAATGAGACCTAAAATGAAAATCTCACAAAAATCTCAACAGCTGCACATGGAAAAATTTAATGCAACCATAGCTACTGGTCTGACCTTCAACTGAAGGATGGCAGAAAGATGCAGGCCTTAGTTTTAGAGTTTTAGGCCAGCTGTAAGCATTTCAAGGATTTTCCACCCATTCTGTCTCTCAATCATCGTCTATAGACCTAATCCACCTTGGGTTTTTTTCATTAGAACTACGTGCACCGGCTGACTTTTCAAGTCAAAACAAAAAAAGTCTAACAAATAAATGGTGGGCATAACTCACTTCCAAGCAATGCCACGAACATGTACGTAGGCTAGACTTGGTCACCATAGCCTGGATTCCATGCCACATATGTAGGCTTGGCACAGTAATAGGCCTAACATTAGGCCTACAGTAAGCCATATTACTAATTAGTGGCACTGGACCAACTTTGAACTAGTGTTATAGTGGTATAGGGTCTGCTACTCAAGAAGGAATATAGGCCTCCCATGTTGACTGAATTTGAACAATGGTCGAAGGCACTGTGAATTGCTTTTGGACTCGTATGACTTTGCCTGTATGACTTGTCAAGATAAGTAGAAATCTTTGGTTCAGATATGTAATCAAGTTGTGTAATTAAGACCAGAATTACCTTCAAATACGGATATAAAGCCAACAAACCCCCAATCCCTCAGAAATTGCTGCATTCTTTCAATGTCGCAAACTTCAAGTTGAACGATGTCGCGATGGCGGCGCGGCGGCGAGCGCACGTGGAGAATTTTACCCCTCTACTCGGTGATAATTTACATAACGCTTGTATACATTACATATCGTTTTGTAAATTATACCTAGTTATAGTAAAAATTCATCCGAATTTACATTACTATTGTAAAAAAAAATTAAACATGGGAAATTTAACGTTACAAAACAAATGTGTTTTTGCGCAAAATTTTACTTAATTTGTGTAGGTCCTAATATTTTACCGGATTTTTTACATGATTTTTTTACTACTCATTCAAGCAATGTCGCGTGACATAAATAGTTGTGGTTTTTGAAATGTTCATTAGTTGGCCGATATTCCAGCAAGCCAGTGTAGGCCCAAGTCGGGCCGCACTTCATGGTAATTGCTCTCCAATCACAGCGTTTGATATTGATAACCAAGGATGGTTGGCCCCAAAGGTAGTGTATACAGTAGTAGATTCTTGTTAATTTGTTCATGGGAATTAGGTAGTTTTGCACTCTGTCATTTGTAATTGCTGTTTGAATTTGCATATCGAAGGCTTTGTACCGCGCAGGTACATTCCAAAATGATTTACCGCTCCAACGAAATGCGGATAATTGCTTCTTCATACATTTTGCTGATAGCTTTATACATTTTGCTGACATTAGTTGCTGTTCCGCGTCACCAGCTTTGGGCGGGAGCAATTGCTGATTGTCTTAGTACCAGTATTTTTTCTGACATTAATTGCTGTTCCGATTCACCAGCTTCGGGTGGGAAAAATCTCTGTAATGTTTGCTGGAGGGCTATACTTTGCCTGGATGCAATGTAAATTTTTGCAGTTCCGCGTCACCAGTTTCGGGCGGGAACAATCTGAACTGTGTCAAGTTCAGTAAACGGCTGCTCAGGCCGATTGACAATGTTAGAATGCGAGTGTCCAGCTGTCCCTGAGTTTACTTTTCTCTGGTCGTGTTCATGCGGGGATAATAAAACGTTACAGAGAGAAATTATTCTTAAAAAAAAAGATCATTTCAGCACTTTAATATATCGAGTTATGTGGTTCCTTACCTTCTTCAATTAATGCGTTTTTCACCAGGAATATTGATGTTCTCATTATACTCGCAAAAGTGCAAATTTTCAAATGTCATTAATGCGTACATCGTTCGCCCCCCCAAAAAAATCAAATACGAAGGACCAAGGTTATAGAATTCTTTGAATGAGAATCTGAAAGCCTCGAAAAAAATAAGAATCTTCAAACGGAACTTTAAAAAGATCATATCATTGAATAATTACTATTGGTAATTATTGACTGTGGAATTGAATAGCTTTATTTACTTATTCTTTGTTCATTTTTCGTATTCTTATTTTTTATTTCAAACTTAGGTTATTGTTAACTGGCATACAAAGTAAGTGTCTTGTCTGTATAGTGTTTGTCTTTTAAGTGCAGGAATTAATTAATAATAACCATGAATTGATTTTAGGGCAAAAATCATAAGCTTTGCTTTTTAGTGGGTACCTCCACGGCTTTCCCCGGTATCAAATATATTGTTTGAAATTGAGATCGTATGTAGGCAAAACTGTGGAAATAAATTAACATGAACGACAGACATTCAGCTATCAACTTCAATGACATTCAAATAACGCACGGCTGCAAAAACATTTAATTTCAAAGGGGTTTTTATTTACCTCATTTTCTTCATCGCGGTAACCTCTTATGTGATCAACTAAATTTTCTCTTTTTTTAAAGGTCGCCATGACCACTTTCAGATTATTAACACAAAATAAGAAGAAGAGGATGGAGTTGCATTTCTCTGAAGTATCTTTGCTTAGAAACTCTTTCAAAAGAGCACAGCAGAAGTACTGCTGTTTTACAAAACGATGGTGATAACTAACTTGCGCGTATATAGAGGATTAATAGTTATTGCATTGGGTTATGATATCCTCCCCAATTCCGTTTTTTCCTCTCTTTCTTACATAGTTAAGGCCGAATCGTCATAGATCTCCATGAAGATCCTTAAACCATCCTTGGTCCTCTTCCAGATGAAAAAAGCCCTGTGAAGAGTCAGCAACATTTTCTTTTACCAAAACATCATGAAGCCTTGCTTAGGGAACTTGTACCACAGTCAAAAGTTTGAAACTGATGGCTTGTATGATTACAACACTCGTCACGGTGTGACGTAAAAACACTGGGCCTCAAGATGACCTGAGGCTGTAATCCTCGAATAATGATTCGTCAGAGGCATGGATTCCAACAGACTAACTTAAGGACGCTGGTCTTCCATGATGGCAAATGTGATTTGCACTTTTTGGCCCAAGGCAGTGACCCCTTATATCAACCTAAAGCAAGTCGCATGCATCACTGATTGGGTCCAAGACTTGAACCCTTGCTAATGAGTGTTATGCACCGATTCTTCATGATGGTTGAACTAATTAAATTTCATTGCAAGACCGAACAATACCTCCCCACTGCCTGACTTAATAAAGGGAATCGTCGATGTCAAGACTAAATTATGAAACCATCCTTTATGGCACTAGCAAATGGCTGAAACATTGTTTTAAATGTTCAGGTGGATTATACGCTTTTTAAAAAATCAACTTACGGTCCACCGTAAACGAAGTTTCCTTCAGGGTCGTTGCATGTGCCGTGGACGTGTTGGAAGACAAAATTAGCCTCCTTACCCAAAGTCGTAACAGCCAGCGTAGTCACGTTTATGCTGCCAATGCCCTCTAGGGAGGTCAGCGTCAACTGGATCGCTACGGAATGAACAACATTAGCATCCTCACGGAGTTAATTAACACTCAGGTGCTCCAAATATTTCTAGCAGTTGTAACAGTAGTTATATATGGATTCACTGACGCTACTTATAAGTAATACATTCATTAAATTGATTAATTAAGATGGCAGTGTGTCATTTTGTGCAACTGTGCGGCACATTGTCCAAATTATGGCCAAATCATATTTATAATACAAAGGACTCATAAATCACATTCTCCCGCTAGCTTTCTGAGTAAAATCGGGCAAGCCTGTGTGTCATTTTGCGTAGTCAGTCGCAGAACTGGTTTTCCACATGGCCAGAATCAGATTCCGGAGGTGGGGCCGGGGGCGGCTGGAGGTAAGTAAACTATCTGCTGGGCGCCAGCCAGAAGGCCCCAGACACGCTAACAATGATAAGAAGCGCTAACTCAGTGGACTGGTCCACTTTTACAAGAGGGGAGATGGTATTGTTCTTCATGTATTTTAGATTTTCGGAAGTGATGGGAAAATTTTTGGCAGGATATTTCCCTTTTAGGTCAGGTGATTTTCAGTTTGTATAAATTAATATACTAGCAAATATTTTCCACAGCCCATTTTCTAAGTTGGATTTTTAAAGAAGAAACTGAACGGGAAAAGGATATTACAAATTCTAACATCTTTACACGTTATTACTTTTTAACACGTTATAAGGGTTCCGGAAGCCCGCCATCAGGGGTCAACTTTCAGGCTCTATTTATAATTTCCACGTAATTTCCCAAAAACTATTAATGGAATATTTTCTCACAGCCTGCGGCCTTGTGTTTTTCATATAGAGTTTCAGCGAAGTTGGGTCTTGCAATTGGCCTCTGAACTAGTGAGTGATATTCAGACTCCATTAAATACGGACCCAAACCGCTGGGGCATGGGGGTATGGAGTCAATATATGAATAAGATATACGACCTCACCTTCGAGTCCTTTCGTGAAATCCCCATCATAGCCTATCAACGTGATATCCGGATGATACAAGTTGATGATGGCACCACAGTTGCCGTCCCTGACGTGTTTGGCGTAGAGGTGGAACAAGTAGTCAACCTCGGCTCTCACCTCTGAATGAAAAACAGAATCATACGAAATAACAATAGTAAATGATGAGCCTGATTCTGAGGGGCTCATGTGATTTAATATTGTTAATGTTGATAGCACAGTTGTGTTAATTGCACGTTTTTACCTGACTAGTGGCTAGAAATCAGCCGTAAAGCTCTTCTGAGGAAAATATTGATTAGCAGGATCGAAACAAATTGGCTGCAAACAGGTTCCAATGTGCTTCAATAACTGGACAACTTTGACAGATCATTGATCTTTGCTACCAGTTGAGAGCAAATGGCAAAGTTACTCGAACAATCAAAACCCAATGAGGTGGGTGTGGGTAGCCTTTAAGTTCAGGCTATTTTTCTGCTTTTCCAGAAAAAAAAACTTTCAGAAGCACTTCATTTTAGGCGTACGCTATTGGAATACCGAACAGGCCCAAAAGCACGAGAATATGAACGACACCTTCGGGAGTCCTGCCTCTCTCCTCAGCCTCAGCTTTTGCTTTGATCATCGCCTCCACTCGCTCAGTGGTCCACTCGTCTACGGGGACGAAATTCTCGGCCTTGTTGACTGGAGAATGAATCAGGAAATGAAAGCTGTGAATTGAAAGGGCGAACAAGGGATTCTGGACCCACGAGGGCCAACTGTGGCATCACGTCCATCCGTTTACTAGTCTGGAGTAGTAGGGCACCTACAGCGTTGTATTGCCTTACCTAACCTTGCCCAAAGAGTGGTTTTCGTTTTGTTTTAGTTTCTGAAGAACAAATAAAGGTGTAAAAGGAATATACACCTACCCCTTATCTCTGATATAGCCGAATATCCTAGTCCTCTGTAGCAGAACCAGTGGGAGGGGACATAAAACTATGAGCGACTTTGGAGCCCCTCCCACGGCAAATCCTGCGTGCACCGCTACCCTAATTGTACTGTTGGAATAGGATTTACCAAAAAAAAAAATCCAGAATGCACATTTGTCTTGCAGTTATTCTTGTTTGTAATGTGTCAATGTATCACTATTTTAAGGATTATTTTGCAGCTATTTTTGGTTTTAGATTTACACATACATATTCATACGCAAATTTTTGATTTCATCCAAGGAAAAAAGCTTATTGTTACATTGTTTTTGTACACACAAGAACCTCTGGGTAACGTAAAGAATCAATGCAACATACCAACATTGTCTTGGGCCGATGCAAAGACCAAGCCGCAAATGAACAAAGCACACAAACAAACAATACGAAACATGGTGCATGGGATACACAATGCCTTCAACTGGGGTAGTCGAGATCCGTTGACTCTCACTCGCCAACGACAGCACAGCAAGTAGATGGCAAGGGGTTTTGCGCATTTGTAAAATGCAACACCAATTTATGTGCACGTACCCTACACGAAGCCAAGGACAAGCAGGTCAAAGTTCCTTATGGACCCTTGATTCGAGGATTGACAATGATTAAACAGGTTTCTTTGTTGTTTTTCCTGCTTATTATTTGATGGCCTTTATCCATTATCTCAAAGATACCATAAATCTCTGTCAAGAGTTTCAAGCTGAACTCATGGTCAGAAGACAGTAGTGATTCAAATTGAACGATTTATGTTTAAATGATATCCTTAGAAGTCTCATAGTCTTGCTTGAAACTACCACCTGTAGTATACTTTCATTTCAATGAATACTGTCCCCACATACATTTAGGATACGCGCAAAAACAACAAACATTCATGTTAATTTGCCTTTTGAGCGTCAGCATTAGGTGATTTCAACGGAGAATATCGGTACTCTACCGCTCTCCAAAGTCATGTCAGAATTCAGTTGCAAAAATCACGAAATGAAGTCAGAAGGTTGTTGGAATGTTACCAGTTAAAAATGTGAATTCAAATTGGATAGGAGTTGGCGAATTGAGTTAAGGCCTCCTTAATTTATTGGTTTGTTTCTGGTGTAATAAGTAGGAACACAGTGCCTTGACCAATCGACTCCACGGCAGCAGGTAGCTTATACAAGGTTTTATTTTTTCAATTATTGATCTAAGAGCCCATACCCACTGTTGTCAGTGCAACGATCGCAGGTCTTTTATCAACTTTGCCGAGGACAGTGATGTTGATTTAATATATTGCGATCAACGACCGAATAATTCAAGGGGGCCGGTTTTAGTGTAAAAAGGTTCAGAGCATCCGTGCTTTGCTAGCACATATATCAGAAAAAGAAAATAACATGAAGCTTTATTCTTTGTTAAGTTGCTGAAATTTGTACAAGGTACAAAGCAAGATCAGTTTGTCGATTTTGCGGGTACTCTGCGTGATCTGTTCACGCAGTATGACACTTTGAATTTCAAATTGTGAGTAAGCTGGGGGAGTAACAGTGGTGGCAATAACCAAGTTATCTCCATCCAAACCGCTGCTATCCTTCTGTCCAATTTCATTTGGCCGCCATATTGAATGTCTGTGTGGCTGCCACCTTACGTATACCTTGACTTGTAATTTATATTCCACCTTACAAGCAGTTCCGAACGCAAAAATGGTGGTAATACTCATGTCGATGGCAAATTTGCAAGTATTCCAATTGGTGCAAAATCTCAAATGCCACCACCCTGGGCGTTTAAAAATGTTAGACACTCTTGTTTTACTATACCAAAATATCATTGGAAAGAGGGGATATGTGGCATTAAGGTGCTACTGTTCACTTTGATGTAAAGTTAACACAATTTTCACAAACTTGAACAGAATTCTGGTCGCGTTTATTTTGATACACACTGTATGTGTGCAGTCCTTGCCCTTAATGAGCTTTTTCTTCTGGAGTTATTTTGGGAATAAATAGCCCGGTTCTTTACACGATTTTGTGTTTGTTCGAATCAGTTTTATTATGGCATGTTTACAAAAGCGTATTTCATGACATTTCATGATCACTCCCTGTGATGAATTAGCGCATTTTGTTCCTAATGAACTCAGCTTTCCTGTAGTAGTGAACAGTTTGTTGGCCAGTCTTAGCCAAATTCGTACCACGCCTTTGAAAACAAGTGTATGGGGGGAAGAGAATAAAATTACAAACTTTGCATGGATAACGGAAGAGTGTTTCAACATTTCAAAAGGTTATTTACGATGACAAAAGTAGGTCTAATATCAGGTATTTTTCTATTTTCATTTCCTTGTCAAAGCAATAATTGGATTTAATTGCAAGTAAAAAAAGTACAAGTATTGCTGGGATATAACTGGCCCCACTTGTCCGGCTAAGATGTAGGCAGTACTCGGGTATTTTTGGAATGTTTTCTATTATTCGACTTTGCGGCGACCATCACTGAACACTTTGAAGTGTCTGAGTTGCAACTCCTTCGATGTCCTTCCTCTATGGTTGCACGAAGAGGCTGGATGCTTTCGTGGCCAATTTGTCCCAGCGTTGTCTGAAAGTTTTTTTGAACTTGATCGCCCTGCGGGGTTTTTGGTAGCCAGACAGATGTGATTAGGTATGTTGGGGGTTTCCCTCATGATTGACTAGGAGAGGACACGTATTTGGTGTGATAATTTATAAGTAATCGGGCAGATGTCACGTTGTTGACGTTTTCTGCCAGAGTTTTAACTAGTTTGTAATTACAGTCCTGGAGTCAGTGTCGTTCTGGTGATGGCTTGCTTGGAATGGCTTTATCCAGTGATAGTAGAGGAGAATCCTCGGATTCGTTCTCCGATAGTGGCACTGGTACTGGCTGGCCGCACTGTAGTTGCGAGCCGACTGGGGAAGGCAATTTGGATTTTGGACGCTTGTTGCTGAGGCATGTAGTTGTTTTGTTTTTAATGGCGCTTTCAGCATCTCAGGCTATTTGCGCCAATAACTGTACGTTTATTCGATTCGTACACTTTATTAATCAGCATCACATTACGGAGTTAGGAAGAAGTAACCGGGAGGAGTACCCGGAGAAAACCTGCGAGAGGGGGGTATGGACTGGAAACCAAGTGCTCTTAAAGCCTTGGCCAAGCCAGGACTCGAACCCGGGCCTCATTGGTGCAAAGCGAGAAAAGAACCTCTACGCTAGCCCTTTCCCCCGATGCGTTGCAGCCCTGCTCAGGTGGTTATAAAATGTTCTGCTGACGTTGTATGGGTCATTCTGAGTGGGGACATGCAATGTATTGGGGTTTCCATAAATTCATGAGCTTGTAAACAATTTAAAAAGATATTTTTTCAAGGAGGCAGTTTTTTCTTTTCGTTTCAGGAGTAAATGGACAAGAAATTCCATAGTTTTGCGCGATTGAATTCCTACTGAAGAATTCGAGAATAGCGCCCTCAGGGCTCAACTAGCTGTCTGGTTATATTAAATTAATATAGTTTCAAAGTGTATCAAACAATTGTGGGCGCCGTACACCATCATGTGTATTCCCATCTGAACCACAGTCTGCTCGACAATAGTCTCCGTTGGACCCTTGTATCACTTTCCAGAGTGTATTTAAACTTGACCTCTCTAACTATTATTTACAGTATCATTTGAGATACCAAGCCCCTGTCAGATTTCGAGCTGTGCATGATGCTAAAAATCAACAGCTCACGTTACGGAAATAGACCGGGTGCCTACAAAAACCTTGCAAGTTCGGCTTAAAGCTCATTGTATTACGCAAAAAGATAATATACTGCGTGATACGTTATTCCAGTAACATCAGATTCTATGTACTTCTTATGTTGATTTTGCTTGTGCTCGGGTGGGCTATTGTCTGGATCTGGATCGATTGAAGGAATCCGTTACCAGTGGCGTTAATTTGTGCCAGAAATGGGGATGGGTGATATGGGGAAATATACGGGGGTGACTAGGCCCAGCCATGGAATTTGAAAAACGAGTTGGGGAAGATACCATATGCATGAGGCGAATTTCTCTTTAAAAATCTGGCCCTCTCTGCAACTAGGATTCCAAGGTTAATTTAGGGAAGGTGTCCTTATCTACCATCCATTACCCCACCCATCAACACACTGCAGGTGGCCAGTCCGACTTTCTGCCGGATCTACTCTTCCAAAACGACAACGCGCCACCAATGTGTGCACTGTCCTATATCATCCGTACACACAATCGAACATTTATTGTGCATTTTGTGTGTGCACTGTGCTTGGGCTTACATTTACTGCACAGCAATGCACAGTGCATTGAGTACGTGTACGTGGCACTAGTCTGAAGTCAATATATTTTTATTTGTCTTGCTGGGGAAACCCGACTGGAAAAATTCGAAATTGTGGCATAAATTAAAGGAAGCTTTAAGTTTTGAAGTGTAGTCTCCTCTCATAGAAAAGTACATATTGACTAAATGAAATGAATAGAAAAACAAAACACACAAAATAGCTAGAAGGCAACCTAATGGAGGCCGTTTTTATAAGGTGGTGCACAGATTTTAAAGAACAAATTTTGAGGACAGAGCATAGTAGTTTTATATCAGTAAATTATTTTTTCAGTGGATCCCAGATTTTTACAAATAAAAAGCATTATTTTCCATTTTTGAAGCTGAAAGGTCGACCGGTCTGAGTATCAACAAGGAATGTTTTTCTTCCTCCATGAATAGACAAAACTTCAATATGGTTGCCTGAAATAGACATCATTTTGTTGAAGAAGCGTTCTGACAGCGAAAGTTAATGCGTACCTTCATGTGCCTTCTAAATGATGGAGCAGAAATCTGACGGCGATGTTTAGTGCACACTTTGATCGGCTCTCCAAATATGGGGCAGAATTCCGAAGTTAAGTGCAAGGTATGATTCGCCCTCCCGATAAGGGGGCAGAATTCCAACAACGCAGTTTAATGCGTACTATGATCCGCGCCCTCCAAATAAGGGGGGGGGGCAGAATTCCGACAAGGAAGTATAGTGTGTACTATGATCCGCTCTCCCAATATGGGGACAGAATTCCGACAATGAAGTTTAGATGCTCTTATGATCCGCGCCTTCCCAATAAGGGGGCAGAATTCTGACAACGAAGTTTAGTGCGTAAACGATCCGATTTCTTAATACGGAGGCGGAATTCCGACAACGGAGTTACTTTACATGTACTTTGATCCTTCATTCACGTAGCCAATGTATTTTACGTCAGCGCCATCTACGTCCGCGAGAAAATATAGTCCTACTTTAACTTCGTGACCAATGACCTATAAAATTCATTGGGGATTTGTGAACGATTTAAGTCTGAATGTGAACACAAGGCGATTGAGCATCAATTTTTTGTATACTTTAGTTTATTTTATGATATATCACGTGAAACACCATCTATGGCAGAGTGTTATTCATGCACTTGTAAGGCGGCTTTCACGCATGCGTACTGAGTAATTTGTGGCCCACACACAAAGGACTCCACAACTCAAAGATATAA